AACTGTCTTGCAACTTTATGATTGACAATTGGTGCAGGATATCTACGAAAATAATTTAATTATAATGATAGTGTCAAATTCAGTACCAAGTTGTATGAAACTGACGCATACTATTTCTTACCTTAACTGCTGAAATTCCTTTGGACTCAATAAACCATATGGATCGTGGATGTGTTTGGGTGACAGATTCCTCAGTTCAGGGACCCATTTCCGGATGTAGATTCCATCTCGGTCAAACTAACGAGAAATACATGTCAAACAGAGCGTGAATCCATAGGTTGATCACACTAGAAAATTTGAAACAGTTACCTTCTGAGATTGAAGAAGAGGATTAAATATCCTAAAATTTGGCTATTATTATAGAAAATGCATTTCTTGATTAGGCATCCAACAATGGATTGATCTCAACTGCAATTAATAAACGGAAATTCACCTGAGCGTCTGCTCCGCTAGATGCGCACTGCAATGTGGCAATGATGGTGTTATATATATATATATTCCCTAGATAACGTTTACGATCCAGTATCACCACTTACCCATTGCCATCCTTCATTATTATTTGCAAAGTCACCATCAATTAAATGTTGCATAAAATACTTCTCTCCTTTTGGCCAATTAATCAACAAGTCTTTGAAGACACAAAAATAAAACAGTAAAAATTGAATAAGCGTACAGAATTGTAAATAGTAAAAAATTCTGTCGTCCATTCGCTTACTAATAACATCATAATTATTTTCCTTGCTAATCTCCCCTCTTTATCCTGCCACTATCTTAAAAGACGCGAACGTAACTTCTACTCACCTTTAACCAAAAACATGGCAACAATCATCCTAACCCTATTATGCATCCACCCGGTTTCATTTAGCTGTCTCATACCGGCATCAACAATGGGATATCCAGTCCTGCCTTCACACCATCTTTGAAACATTTCCTCCATTTCACGTTTTCATATTGTATCTTGTACGCTCTGTTCATGCAAACTCTGGGAAAGGCCACCAAAACATGACGATAAAAATCTCACCATACCAATTCCTCGATCCATGAAACAATACCTTTACTCCCTATTTGTAATTTGTTGCCATCTGCCTTGCGAGCAGCATTCACACATTGACGACCCCCGATGCTAAATACGGGGATAGACCACTCGATCCATTTATGCAAGGAATATTTCGGTCATCATGATATGAATTAATCTTTTTCTCAACGAATGCGTTCAACGCCTATGAGCTTCGTCTTCCCCTGCTGGATAGAGTTCACATGAAATGAGGAGAAGAGCAGGTGGGTATTCATAA